GGCACATTAAACAATCAGTTTTATATGGGTTGGCAGTTTATGACACCATCCCTTCTGCCCATCTGTACCAAGTACAATTTTCGGCACATGAATGAATATTGAATTTATTTTCTCTATTCAACACAAAAAGTTTGGAGAATCCGCGCCAGGATGGCCATTTGCCAATAGTGAGGAAGTCTTACATAACAGAAAAGAAGTCAATGACCGCCTGCCTGCGGGCTGCGGGCTAGAGGTCCCGTAACCAATCATAATCAACCATCGTATTTACGAAATCATTGCTATCAAAATGACCGAGTGTGAACCTATTTATCTCAAACTGAGGCGTGTATCCATCAGGGTTAAGGGTAGTGTGAACAGAGAAAAGGAGAGTGCCCGAACGCTGGACATTCGACAACACTTATTACTTAGCATACGCAGTACCAACGCGACACGCATACTGGACCCAGGCTGGAGGTGACCAGAACCCTCCGTGTAAGCTTCGGTGCACAAGAAAAAGAAAGGGGGAATCACAAGATCCTACGCGCTTTGAATGTGAGTTTCAGACAGGAAGTACATAGGGCATTCATGGAGGAACGGGGCTCTTGGTTTATAATGATATTCAGATTCTATTTATTTCAAATCAGGTAACGAGATTATGACTGGGTTTTTACAAAGGTAACTTTTTTCCCACATTACAGGCCCATCCCCCATGACAAGAAGAAGGATGGCCTACTTCCAGGTGCATGATTTTGTACTTGAACGTGGTTGTGAGAGAGTCTTTCTCTCTCTCTCTCTCCCTCTCTCTGTCTCTTTCACACACAAACACACTAAACTCTGAGGCACACACACACATGTCTACTGGAGACGCTGCTGGAAGGCCTCGGGGATGGCGACGGGTGCGACGGGCAGGTGGGCGCCCTCGGGGTGGAAGCCGTTCTCGTCGGCGGTGTACTGGACGGTGTACTGCTGGCCGTCGGGGGCCACGAATTGGTAGGAGCCCTTGACGACGGCGGAGCCCTCGGCCTCCTGCTGGCGGGCCTGGACGAAGTCGCCCTGCTCCTCGGCCTTGATGCCGTTCTCGGTCTCGTAGCTGTAGAAGTAGCGGCCGGAGGGCTCGATGTTGCGCTCGTCGCTGAGGATGCGGAACACGGGCTTGGCCTGCTGCTGGAACTGAGGCGCGGCGGCCGCGACGGCGAAGAGGACGGCGAAGATCTGCAAGTGCAACAACAGGTACGGCATGAGCAAAACAGCAAAAGCACACGAGCTCAAAGGGAAAAGGGGGGGGGGGCGTGCTTGTTGATGGTGGTTAACTAGTAGTAGTATTAATGAAATTGACGAATAATATTCTCGGCCGTATATGTATTGCGTAAAAAGATGGACAAACGGAACTGGTAAGCAGTGTGCCGGCTGTACCGGTACCGGAGCCAGCCTGCTTTCACCGACAAAGGATAAGGCACATTGTTCGCGTGACGGAAGAGAGAAACAAACTAGTTTTTCTTCATGTCACAAAGTCACAACACAGCTACCTATCTCACTCTTGAAGGGACAAAAGCGAATGGGATATCAGATCCGATTAGAGGACGGTAGTGGGTGGACTGTGGACTTCCCCTGACTCACCAGGAAACGCATGGTGGCTGTGGGTTCGCGACGGTGTGGGCACGACTGGTGACAAAGTTGGTCCTAGATCGGCTTTTTATAGGCGAGTGTGGGATGCGGCTAGGCACGCTGGGAGGGAGCCTCCGTCACGGGAAGCTTTGGAATGGGCCAGGCCCAGCAGGAGCGGGCAGAGTGCGCGGTGGCGGGGCGTGGCGCGGCGTGGCGGGGCGTGGCGGGGCGTGGCGGGGCGTGGCGGGGCGTGGCGGGTCGCGGCGGTCGTGGAGCGGAGGGCAAAATGTCGACCAATGGCGATAAGAGATCGCCCATCCTGCCACTAATCGGGAGGACGAGGGGCAAGAGGTGCGTTGTCATCTGGATTCGCGTAAAACTTCAAGTTAATGGCGAAGGTCCACCCGCTTCGCAGGGACAGACGACCCGCCGCGACCCGGGGAGTGCGGCACGTGTAGGAGGCACTTGTCGTGAGGGGTGCGTATTGAGCACGGTGTGACACCTTTGTTAAGGTGTTACAGAAATTTTGAGTGCAGTGCCTTAAAGGCATTATAGAACCCTCAAAGTGCTAGAAATGAGTAAGACTTAGTTTTAATGTCCAAGAGCAGTAATCCGAATCCATAATAAGCACCTTTTAAAGGGCCCAGTCACACCTTCGTGTTTCCAGTAGTGTCACCTGTGCATTCGGGTTACGGAGTGTATTGAGCTTTGAGCATGGAGTTGGTGTTCACATCCGCCCGTCTCTCTACCAGCTCAGCGTCCGGCCCTGATCGGGTCAGATCGGGTCGGACCGGACCGGCGAGCCTAAAGGCGAGCCTGGCGGTCCCTGAGGTGGCCTTGAGGCCGGCGCGGGGGCCTTTTTACTGCCCCGTGTGGTCCTAAGGTGGGCTCGTCTTTCCAACAGCGATGCCAAAAAGGAGGAAGGCAGGCAAAAAAGAACAACGCCTGGAAAGATACAGACTTTGGGCAAAGGAGGGACTGGTGAAAGAAACTAAAAGTTACAGATTCTTATTGAGCTTGAAAGATTACGGAAGATTATAGTGTGTATCAGAAAGTGGAATCTGCACACTGGGCACTGCACTACATTCGGTTTCGGGTTGGCATCAGAATGGCAACACTGGTTGTAGTGACAATCGGTAAACCCGATGAGTATCTCATTGACAAAACTTGCACTTTCAATGAATTGCCCGTGTGTGGGGGAAGGGAGATGAGCCGCCACTCGACTGACCTTGACCTTTACGCTGCCCCTGCCCCTGCTTAAGTTGAAGTACCGGCAGATGTTGGAAATATATCGGACGCACTGGAAAGAAAGGGCGAATCCTGAAAGACCTCATATACTTTCACTTTGATATTATTTTATTGACATATAAGAATTTCAAAGGGCTAGTACTGTGCTGGTATGTGATATGAATCTCGAGCTCATAATGACAATAAAACAGCATGCAAACAACAAACCGGTGGTTTTCGGATCCAACGGGGGCGTTACTCCCTCTTCCATGCCAGCCACATATTATGCCGACGAGGTATTATACTACTAGCAGCCGATGACGCATACATAAGGCTCTGACTTTTATTTTCAACCTGCTCTCCCATTTCAGTTGTCTTTCTTTTTGGTCCGCATCTTTTATTGTCATCGTCCAAAGCACATAATGGAAGCCATCCTCGGCATTAACAAGCAAAAAAATAAAAATAAAAAATTGATAAGGATTGCTAAACATTTTCAGATAATTGAACTAAAAAGTGTAAAAAATGCCGTACAGGAAGTTACGGTTTGCCTACGGTCCGTACCGTATTTTCAGCGTACGGTCAGGCCGTAACAGTCTGAACTGTACTTTCTTGCTCAGGCTAAAACAGTATTCGACTTCCCCAACATTTTTTCAAGTTACGGTCTGTTCTGTACGATACGGACCGTAACCGAATTACAGTGCTGGACCGAAAGTGGGCGAAACATCACCATGGGATATCAAAACGATATCGCTGCGATTTCGCTCAAATTCCGCTATCGCTCCATTTCTGGCGGTTTTTGAAGAACAAAATTGCAAGACTGACAAAAATCTGCTTCTCCCGGCGAGGCTGCTCCCGTACGGCATGCCATATTTGCTCTGCGCTCGTCCAAATAATAAGACTGGTTGAGTCCGGCAGCGGCAGCTGTTCTCCTGCTGCCGCCTTGGCTCCTGCCCCGGCCAGCAGCGGAGCGCCTGTGAGCCGCAGGGTGGGCCGCCCGCCCCACAGCCGCGCGGGCGCGCTGCCTACTCGCGCCGGCGGGCCGCCCGGTCCAGGAGGAGAGTGTCCCGTTGTTGTCCCCCCCCCCTCCCTCCAGCCCATCCATCCGGCACGCCGGGAGCGCGGGCAGCTGCACGACTCGAACGCACGATGGGCTGCCTGCTCGGCAGGCGTGACCCGGACCACACGGAGCCAGGAGACTGACACACTTCAGACGTGTCTCGCCCATTCTCGGCGCAAACGGCTATAGTGGGTACACTACACTGGGAGGGGAAAAAATACAGATTTTCGTCGTCTGACTAACATAGACAACAAGGAAAAAAGTATCGTAAAATGGCGAGAGATATTTACACGATGTATGGAAATAATGAACACTTACAAATCACGTGTTCCTTCGATTTGATTTTTTGTAGATTTTCTAAGATACGCAACTTACGAAGCCATTGCAGTACCCGATTGCAAACCTCATAACTATTCCTCAAAATATCCACGCCTCCAGAAAACGGAGGACTGCTCCAGCAGTCAGGCGAGAATGGCAAAGAAGAGTTTCAGGTGGAATCAGTAATTTTTTTTTTAAGCAATGGCATTTACGTGCGCCGCTTCTGGGCTGGAATTTGCTGGCCTCCTATATCCCAACGCGTTAGCAGAAAAGTCCAAAGCTTTTTCAATCTTTTTACATGTATCCTACACCTACAAATTAACGAGATCACATTGGGATTGGGACAGGACGTCGATTGCCACTAAAGGCGCGAGGCGCGAGGGGGGGGGGGCATTTCCTGGACGCTGACGCACTTGGTGTGCGTGCGGAGTGTGTGGAGCCGGGCCGCCGCTCGCCCCAGATCAGACGGCCGAGCCCGCCCGACCAGCGCGGTGCTGAACTTGCCATACCAGAGCGGCGCACTGTAGCGGGGCCTCGTCGTAGTCGCGGTCTTGCGAAAACAGGGAGTGGTCGATGAAAACTTTGTAAAAATATAAAAACTTCTACTGAGGCCCCCCTCCCCCTTGAGGAAGAGGAGGAGGAGGAGGAGGAGGAGGAGGA